TGGTGACTATAGCTATAACAGGGACTGAGTGCATCGCGAACAAACAAACACACAAACACACAAACAGACATTCTTCTTTATATATATAGATTATCATGGTAAACGAATGTTACGAACAGATCCAGTAAGTTTTTCTGTTGTTTATATTCCTGAAGTTCATCAAGTTCAGTCAGTTGTTCATGATGAAACAGTTTATCGTTGGGATGATCAAAATTGGATGAGACAACGTGCTCAAACCGATCCTTTACGATCTCCATTATCCATTTATGAAATTCAACCAAAATCTTGGAAAAGTGGTACTTACGAAACATTAAATTTCCGTCAAATTGCTTCTGAATTGGTTACATATTGTCATCAAATGGGATTTACACATGTTGAAATGTATGGAATACTTGATCATGGCAATAAAAAAGAGCGTGGTTATCAAGTAGCAAATTTTTTCGCTCCTTATCGTGAGAGTGGTACATGTGATGATTTAAAATATTTGATAGATATTTTACATCAAAATAGTATCGGTGTAATTCTTGATTGGATTCCAACACATTTTCATCATTATCATCAATCTCATCAATACTCGATTTCTTTACATGAATATGATGGAACAAATTTGCATGCTAGTGGTTCATCACGATGGGGAACATTGTATTTTGACTTTGACAAAGAAGAAACACGTCGATTATTATTTGCTAGTGCTCTTTATTATCTTGATCGACTTCATATAGATGGAATTCGTTTTGATGCTGTCAGTCAGATGATTCGACGTAATCAAACTGATATACCAGGTGCTATTTCATTTTTAAGAAAACTCAATCAAACAATTCATAAATATTATCCTGGTGTTTTATGTATTGCAGAAGAAACTGAAGGCTATCCAAATCTTACTAAAACTATGAATTTCGATATGAGATGGAATATTGGTTGGAGTTATGATGCAAGAAATCTTCTTCGCACACCTTATGCTGAAAGACCTCAACATTGGAAACGAAAAGTAATTGATATGTTGCATTGGGCTCGATGTGGAAATGATAAAATGATTCTTACATTGACCCATGATGATACAGATACAGGAGAACATAATAATAATACTGTTTTGTTGAGCTGCGTTTCACATGCTCGAAATGATAGAGATAAATTTTCTGATCTAAGAAATTTTTTTGCATGGCAAACATTTGCACCCAGTCGTGGTCATATGATTCACATGGGAGATGAAGTTGCTCAACCACTGTCTTGGTATCAAAGATTTCGAAGAAATCTATCAAGTATGGACTGGTCATTGGATAATTCTTCATCATTACATGGTCAAATTCAAGAATGTATTCGTGATCTGAATCATCTTTATATAGGTTATCCACAATTTTGGCAAAATGGAGAACAAGATTTTTCAATGATTTATGAATATGGTCAAAATTTAGTAGTAGCTTATCATCGAGGTATTCATAATAATAGACGAATAGCTGTCATCCATAACTTTTCGCATCGAGGATACAAAACGTACGATATACCGTTGCCAGGATCAGATCCTAATGTGGCGCGTATTCGAAGTGCAGATGAAATTTTTAACACAGATCTTTCAAAATATGGTGGCTCGGGTTCGTTTCAAAATCAACAGATTAAAATTATACATAACAATGACCGAACTATCCTATTTAGACTTTCCATTCCTTCTCTTGCAACTATTGTTTTAGAAGAACATTTAGCTTAATAAATTTCGAAAGTTTTTTAGGGAAGTTTTAATAGAAAATTGATGTCAGGAGAATGTTAAAGTAGAAAATTTTATTTTATATCAATACGAATCTTATTTTTACAATAATAAACTTCATTGTTTTACTTTGCTTTACATTAAAATTGTTTTATTCGAAAAATGGACAAGTATAAAACATACATGATTGAACTACAATAACATAAGGCATGGCTTGCGATATTAGCTGATGACTTTTTAGCAATGTAGTACTTATTTGAAACATTTTTATTCGCCTATTTTTAATGCAGTAGCACAAAAAAATTATTTGAAATAGAAAAAGGAATCAGTTTATTTATACTGTCTGTTCTCTAGTGGAAATCAAGTATTGTTAAAAGTGAAGTAAGTAACTATCGAGACTACTATCATAGCCTCCATACTTGTTCAAAATGTTTATCATTCGATTTATTCTTTGTCAAAAAAGAAAATATAAAAAATTTTAATATTCAAAAAAAGAGTTAATGGGTACCACATTCTATTTTGTAATATTGCTTATAATACTCTTACAAGATCAAATTACCATTCGTCATTATAATATATAACTTGTAACAATTGCTTAAAAAATATTTGACTATTGTTGAATTTTTCGGTTTTTAAATAAATCTAATCGCTGTTCATTATAATGTATATTTTCAAAACATATATCTTCCCATAGTTAAATATCTTTTTTAAGTAATATATCTCAATTATTTCTTCTTTTTTTATCTTTGATCAAAACCATGTTTCACTTTTTTACATCCACCAATCGTTTCAACTACTTGAAGAATAAAACCGCAAAAAAAACAATTTCATACGTGTTTTATGTCGTTCTATATCATCTTTTTTCTTTGGATCATTCATTGCTATAGATTCATCAAGATTTAATGCTTTGATGGTCTCACTTTGCCGATACTTTATCAAGCCTCATTTGGGCATTGTCATACACAAAACCATCATGATGTGTACAAAAACCTATTTTATTTTCACTTTCAATATAATTATGACAACATTGAACATAAACAATAATATCAGTTGATATTCGTTGTTCTTCTTCTTTTTGTTATTCATATTATTGGTGTAAGAGTGTAGCTTGGGTGTGGAGGGTGGATGTGAAGAAAGGAGTTTCATGGAGAATGAATCGCACAGCGTTGTATCTACTGAAGGTGCTATCAAAGAAGTTTTAACGGAAACGATGTACACAGTAGTGCACTGTGTATTGGTGTCAATGAAGAGGGTTTGCCTAGAAAGATTCAAACAACATGACACCGGGTGTTGTTGGAATGAACGGCGTTTCTTTAGATCGGTGATAGGCCATCTTTCTACGGGAATTTTCTTTGAAAAGTGAGTATGAAGGTGTAGCGCCGGTGGCTGTATTTGATGTTTTGCGTCAGATTGAGAATTTGTAGCTATAGTTTGTCGTAGTAGTGTTTTCAACAGAAGTTATTGTAACTGATAATGTATATATATGTTGCTGGTATAGAATTGCTATGACATTTTATTGTGCTATTTATGGCTTTCATTTTGGTCATTTTTCTCACAGATATTTATACAGTGTTCGTTTTTAAGTGGAGGCATCAGGAAGAAATTATAATTTGATTGGAAATAGATTCATTAGACTTTGTGTTTTACAATCGCGTCCAGGCTTGTTTCGTCGAATGCATTGAAAGATATTTCGCTCAACTGTGCTCAATCTTTGAACTCAGAACGTGAATTTCCTTTTTTTTGGAAGAGTTCTATGCGCTGCAGTTACCGGGTAGACTGCATTGCAGAGTGGTTTGTGCACATGAGGCCTCTCTGTTGCTGCAGCTTTACATTTCGCAAGGGCTCTTGCAATGTCTGGTAAATTTCAAGTGGCATCGAAGAAAAGAAGTTGGCCTGTATTGACCACTGATACTGCGATATGGTAGTTTTTCGACCTTCATTACTTGAAATTCCTTCTTTTGTCATGAGAAAATGTGTTATTTTTTCTTCTCAAACCTTCATTAGAATATCGTGGAATTTTATTTAAAGTCCACGAGAGTTCGATTAGCCTTCCTAAGTAAAAATTCGAGCTGTCTCTATTTCATTTGGCTTTAAGGAAAGTCCAGATGAGTGTGCAATGACGCAGCATGTCTATTATGTCTATTAAGGGCATTTAAAATATTTTACATCTGCTCTTGCAGTAAACTTGATTTTTCCGGAAACTAATACAACGCATCGAATCTTGAAAAGATAAATAAACCATCACGAAGAAGAAACGATGAAACTACTTTTCACTGAAAAGCATCACTGTTCAAATTTCTTAAGAAGTAAATTGCCATATCCAACGGAAATTTTCCATAAACTATTTTCCCATGTTAATAGCCGTTAAAATTTGCTTATCCTACAAAGAGAAAAGTATTATACAAGATACTAGCTGTTTTTAGAAATAACTAAAGAATTATGGAAATCACCAAAATTTCCATGCAATATTGTCAAAGTGTCTATCCATTGTAAGAGTATAAGAATGCCCTACTCTATAAAAAAAGGAAGAAATTCTGGGAATTACCAACTATTTTTAGTAATGACCAAGCAAACTTGCATATTACTGACATTTGTATACAATATTATTTTGAGTAAGTCTATCCATCATATAAGAAGAAAAGGACATAGGTAAAATTAGTAGCCGATTCGAATGATTCTCGCAGCGATTCGCCTAGGAACCTGGTCCAACGTTTTTATTCTTGGTCCACGTACAACTCAATGAGGTGTATCCAATGGTACAATTAGATTTTTCATATTTCGAACTTTATGTTCAAAAATCCAAAAATAGTGGTATTTTTCGTACAATCCATATAGTAATTTCGGCATCGATTCGCCTAGGCACTTGGTTCAACGTTCCTACTCTGTCCAATTTCAACTCAACGAGCTCTATCCAATGATATGCTCAGGTTTTGATAGAGTGTGGAGTGTAGGTGTGGGTGTGGGCGTTATCTACATTTTAGAGGCGTACAAACATACCCACACCCCCACACCCATACCCACACCCACGACATCCCACACCCATACCCACACCCACGACATCCCACACCCATACTCGCACCCCACATCTACACCCCGTCCTAGACTAACACACTTTAAGAAAAGAAAGTGTACTGAATCATTCAGGTTTCATTACGCTCAGAAGATTTTTCAAAGTCATGGATTTCGTGGATTTTATAATGGTCAACTGTCTATTACTTTTTAAAAAATATGCTTTAAATATTATGAAAGTTTTTAGGCTTTAGTATCAATGCTTTTTTCTAATACCTGAGAAAACAATCGAGTTTATTGTCAATGACTATCTTCGTTCTTTGCTTAAATTAAATTGAATAAAATCGATGTGTATACATATTACATTCAAAATACTTCTTTTGTTTAAAGGAATGAACCTTTTCCATTATATCGACAGATGTTAGCTTGAGCAGGCGCAAGTAATTGTCAATTTGTAGTAACAGTTCCGATAGGGTTACTTATAAGAAGAAAAGCGAATAACGTTCATGGAAGTGAATTCATACAAGAAATTTATTTTAAAGAATTCCTACTACTTAAGCTTTTTTCACACTTTTATTGGTGTAGATATCGATGTTGAAGTAGTGAGTGGTTGGAAACATTCTATCGAAGGCTATCACCAGAAGGGTTCGCTTGATTTATATAAAGGTCCAATGCCTACGTGGAGTCAGGATGTTTTCTTTTCTGCTGTATATTTTCGACTGTTTGCATATTTGAATGAATTGGGCTAATCTTCAGTCAATAATGAAATCCCGTTTTATCGCACATTGTCTTCTGGTCTTATTGCTGGTACTGTTTCAGATTATTTAGTCACGCCATTTTATGGTATAGTAATATGAGAGATGAAGTTTCTCATTCTCTTATTGAGTTTTATCTTTTTACTTCATAACAGTAATTAAAACTCGTATTCAAGCAGGTGATTAAAATAAGAAAGACTCCTACGCGGGTATCATCCATTGTACGTGGCATGCTTAATAAAATGAACGATTGAAGCCTTCGATTTTCTTCTATTACAATTTAGAAAACTATATGAACATGGTTTTAAAGTTTTCATGACAGGATCATTACTACGAGTGATGGTAATAGCACTGCCTTTTGGCATTTTGCAGATGGTAAATCATATCGGTATAGGAGAAAGAATTTTCAATATTGTGAAGTTGAAAATATGACTCGTTTATAACAGTCAGATCGAATTTTACTTTCAAATAAACATTTCGTTCTCTATTTTTGATCTAATAAAAATAAAATTCAAGAATCATTTTATGCAAATTCAATATTTATAAATGGCTTCGCTATATCTTCATTTTTAATAATTCAATGATAACTTATATTGATGAATGTACTGCTAAGCATTTTAACCATAAATTTTCAGAGAGCGCAGTTCCAATTCTGAGACAGTAGGTGTGCGCCTGAATATTGATTCATTTGATCCTTCTTAGAGGGACATCACAAATATATATTTTTCATTTAACCACGCTATCAATGAGAGATAGAAAATATTTTAGTCTAAATTCTTACGTGATATGAATGTCTTAAATAAACCACTTAGCAAAGTTTTACTGCTATTTAATCTTTCCATAGCTATTTAATTTTTCAATAGTTATTTAATTCTCTACCATAGCTATTTAATTTTCTCTTTCAAAGCTATTTAGTTTTTCTACAACTATTTGATTGATCTGTAGCTTTCTGATTGTTTTCCATAGCTACTTAATTTTACTGCAGCTGTTTACTTGGTCTGTATCTATTTAACCTTTCTGTAACTACTAGAATTCTACATATTATTTCCTATTAAGATGGAGATCAGTGATCTGTATAACGTTATTTATTCTTTTCGAGGAAGACAGTGGTGAAGAGAAAAAAAAGAGAATACTAAATATCTCTGTAAAACTCAACTATGTAGGAAAGCTTTAAGTTGATGTGGAATATTCAAATAGCTGTCAAAAAGAATTAAACGGCTATAACAACTTGAACGCATTTGGGACTGGCTTAATATTGAAAGAAATGAGATTTCTTCGAGGTTTCGCATTACTGATTTATATTAGTTCCACAAGTAATAAAAAGAAATAGAAAGAGTTGAGAGCAGTATTGGTACATGATCATTACTCTCTAACATATCATAAAAATACGATAAGATGCATCAATTGATGAGTAATAAGTCGATATGGAATCATCAGGATATATACGTGACTTCTCCTGAAGGAGTTAAATAGCTATGAGAGCTTAAAATACTTGTGGAAAATAATTAAATAGCTGGGAAAAAATAAAATAGCTGAAAAAAATGAAGTAGCCGTACAGTATTGCTTAACCCTTCGGCTCCCGGCTTTTTTTGTGAAAATCAAACTTTTTAAAATTAATGTTCAAATATGATTTTTATTTTTTTTCACAAAGAAATTTCATTTCTGTCCTAAAAAACATTAATAGTTCATCTTTGTATGATAGTCTTTGAAGCAATCAACAATACATAGTGGTATATTACAGTCAGAACACATA